TGGTGGTGCACACCTGTAATCCCAGTTATTCAGGAGGCTAAGGCAGAAGAATCGCCTGATCCCGGGAGGCAGATGTTGTAGTGAGCCAAAATTGCCCCACTGCACTCCAGCCCCAGTGATAAAGCGAGACTCCATCTCAACAATAATAATAATGATAATAATAAAAAGGTCTAGCAAATTTAATCAGAATTCCATAAGGAATTCTGATTAAACATAAGAGGTAATATTTAAGGTGATAACGACTGAAACCCTCCTCAGAATTATTCAAAGATATATATCTTAACATACAGGAAGTCCAGCAAATCACAGACAGGATACATAAAAACAATTCACATCTAGATTCACCAAAGAGAAATTAAAAATCCACATTCATATACACACAAAAGATCTTAAGCCACAGAAGGGACAAGCAAGACTAGAAACAAAACAAAATAAAGCAAAATGCAAAACAAAACCCAACACACTGTAGAGAATAGACATTGGCAAGAGACTGACCACTATCTTTACAACAGAAATAATGAAAACTATAAGATGGTGGAAAATAACTTAAGTGGACTGAGAGAAAATAATTGTCAACCTAGAACTGCACATCCAGCAAAACTATATTCAAGCACAAGGATAAAATAAAGACATTTTCAAACAGACCTGAGAGTTTACCACCAGTTGACCCTCACTAAAGGTTATTCTAAAGGATTTTCTTTAAGAAGGAAAAGTGTAATCCCAGACAGATCTGAGATGCAAAAAAGAGTGATTATGAAGGATATTGATAAGTATGTGCATAAATCAAAATAACGGCTGCATAAAATAAGAACACTAATAATGACAATGTCTAACTTGTGGAGGGAAAGAACAGCAATTTAGAGATCTAAAATATTGGACAACAACAACTTTCAGTTTGGCAGAGAGATGGTCAGTATGAAAGATCCTTGTTTTATTTACAAGTGTTAAATTTATTAAATATTTAGATTTTAAGTTAGTATACATGTTTTAGTATAAAGGTAAAATTGTATGAATCACTTCTTTTAAAAAAATTATTATTATTTTTTTGTTAAAAGAAAATGAGATGGGGTGTTACCATGTTGGCCAGGCTGGTCTTGAACTCATGACCTCAGGTGATCAACCCATCTCGGCCTCCCAAAGTGCTGGGATTACAGGTGTGAGCCACCACACCCGGCCTCTATGAATAGCTTCTAAGACATAGAGGGGAGAAACTAGAAAAAGAAAAAGAAAAAATAATTTAGTCAGTTATGAAAGTGTAGTCGGGGGAAAAAGAAGAACCCAAACAAAAAGTAGAAGAACCAGGACAAATAGGTAACTAGAAAGCACATATAAGATGGTAGAAGTAAATCCAAATATATCCATTATCATAATAAACAGAAAAGGGCTAACCTTTTCAGTTAAAAGAAGATTGTCAGATTGTACTTTTTTTTTTTTTTTAAAGCAATTAGCTTTATGTTGATTTTAAGAAACACACCCCAAACCATAAGGCACAAAAATGTTAAAAGTTCAAGTACAGAAGAAATATGTAGTAAACCCCCAGGAAATGTAGCCCACAAAAATAGCAGTAAAAAGAGAGTTTAGAATGAATGTCTTCAGCATTTGACTTCTGTACTTCCCTTTATTCTTAAATAGAGACAGGCTAAATTTCTTTTCTTCTGTTGAGATATGAGTAGGATTAGGAAGTGACAGCCTCTTGATTATTTAAGATTTTTCCAGTATGGTATACATTTCTTCAGTTTCATAGAGAATAAGGTTTTCCTTACTTACTTTTGGGATTTTTTCATGACAGAACAGAGTAACTAAAAATACTTTTTTAGTCAAATACATAATACCATATTTTATTTTTGGACATTACTTATCACATAATGGTATAGGTTTTACCAAAACTAACAAGAAGAGCTGCTATAGCTGTAGTAACATCAGACTAAACACTTCCTTTTCTTTTTTTTTTCTTTTTCTTTTTTTTGAGATAGAGTCTTGTTCTGTTGCCCAGGCTGAAGTACAATGGAGCGATTTCGGCTCACTGCAACCTCCAACCCCTCGGTTCAAGTGATTTTCCTGCCTCAGCCTCCCGAGTAGTTGGGATTACAGGCATCTGCGAACGCACCCAGCTAATTTTTGTATTTTTAGTAGAGATGGGGTTTCACCATCTTGGCCAGGCTAGTCTTGAACTCCTGACCTCAGGCAATCCACCCACCTCGGTCCCCCAAAGTGCTGGGATTACAGGTGTGAGCCATGGTGCCTGGCCCAGACTAAACACTTTCTAAGGAAAAACATTGGTAGAGATAAAGAAGAGAGCTATATAATACAATGATTTATTAAGAAGATGTAACTCTGAACTTTGATGCAGCTGATTATAAACCCTCAAAACTATAAAAATTGACTGAACTACAGAAGAAAAATAGACCCAATACATTAGTGGGAGATTTTAATATATCTCTGTCAGAAATTAATAGACCAAGCAGATAAAAAATCAAGAATATAGATGATTTGAACATAATTAATAGGCTTGATCTAATGAACAGTTATAGATTACATCCAATAATTCAAAAATATTGAATCTAAGCATATATGAAATATTTATTTAAATTGGCTACATGGAGACTGTAAAATTCTCCTCAATAAATTTCAGAGAATTGATGTCAAACAAAGCTTATTTTTGGACCAAAATATAACCAATTTAGAAATTAATAGCAAAAAGATAATTGGGAAATATTATACGTTTAAACAACATATGGGTTAAGAAATTAAAATTCAAAAGCATTAGAAATGAGTGATAATAAAAGTGTTATATTTCACAACATTGGAAGCAGGCAATGTAATATTAGAAGAAAATACAATTATTTAAATATGTTAGTAAAGAAGACTAGATAGTAAATTAAAAACACAAGAATAGCAGAATAAGCCCCCAAAACGTATAGGAAAGAAAATAAATAATTTAAAAACACCACCCGCACACAAGAAACACTAATAAATTAGAAAATAAACATACAAAAAGAATCAACAAAGGTAAAAGTTTGTGCTTTGAAAACAGTTAATGAAATTGACAAGCCTCTGACAATATTTGTCAAGAGAAAAATGAGAAATGCATTATAAATAATATTAAGAATTAAAACAGGGACATAATGGAATAGAATTTTTTATGCTGACTAGATTAAAATATCTGTGTATTATATACATTTTAAAGTCAATAAATCTGGACATCTAGAAAATATAACTTCTTTGAAAAATGCAGTTTACTAAAACTGACTCAAAAAGAAATGAAAATATAACCCTATAATCATTAAATAAATTGAATTAATAGTTTAAAGTTTTCCCACAAAGATAACATCAGAATAAGGTGAATTTTACCAATACAGTTATTCAGTGGGGGCAAGTAATTTAAATCCTATGCAGATTCTGTCAGTGATTAGAAAAAGAGAATATTCCCCAAGTGTTTTTATGAAGCTAGCATAACTTTGACACTAGAATAAGGTAAGGACATTATCAATTGGAAAAAGGGAATTTCACTTGTGATCATTGAAGAAGAAAAAAAGCTAAATTAAATATTAACAAACAAAATTCAGCAGTATCCTGTACTATACTAAAAACAAAATACATTATGACCAAGTTGCTTTTTAATCTCATAAATGCCTGGTTCATTTAATAGTGGAAATTCTATTAATGTAGCATCACGTCAGCATCACTGAAAGGAAATGTAGTCTTCTTAATAGCTGCAGAGGAGATAATTAATAGAATTTACTATCTGTCTCTAATTTAAAACCAAAAACTTTTACAAACTAGGAATAGAAGAAAAATTGTTTCACTTGATAAATGTATCTGCAAAAATACTAAAATATGGCAAATATCATACTTGATGGGGAAATGTATGAATTTCTGTTACCATCAGGAACAACCAAGCATATCCAGCTTCTGTTAAGACTGAAGCTTACACTATTTTGGGGGCTCTGATTCATGAGTATTAGCATCTGCTTACCTGTTGATATCATCTCCTCTTATGTTTGCAACTCCACACCTAATCTTTTTTTTTTCCTTTTTCAAACCTTTAACACATCTGTAAGCAATATTCCTTGCCTTAACTTCCCTTTGGTTGAACTATCTGAAAACTCAAGCTTCAGAACTACAAATAAGAAATTATGTATTAAAATGAGTATGAAGAAAAAAATGCACAAAAAGTATTGGAGACTTCGATATTTAGGTCTTTCTATTCTGAGATCTTTTAAAACAATTTATTGGAAATGCTTCCCAATTTCGCTAGACTTCCCTTTCTGTACCTAGAATACTGCAAATTCTAACTCCTTTAACTCACAGAGGCCTATGCAAATGAGGGTCTAAGCTTTATTTGCTTCCCAGGTAGCTAAGCTTTATGTCTTAGAGATGTAAACTAGTACAATAAGACAAAAATTTAAAGTTCAAAAATTTGAAAAAAAAAAAAAAAAAAAAAAGAAAAAAGAAAGAAACAAAGCCATTACTATTACTAGGCGATACAATTGTTCACATCAAAACCCCGAAATAATCAACAGACATTTTTTTTTGGAATTAATATGAGAACTTAGCTAGCTTGCTGTTTTAAAACAATGTATAAAATTAATTTGCATGTCTGTACTTTGGAAATGATTAGAAAGATGATTTAAAAGACATCATTACAACACCCCCCCCCCCCACTTACCCCAACCAACCAACCAACCAATCAACCAAACCAAGCACCACCTAGGATTATATCTTGCAATAGATGGTCAAGAACTTTACATAGAAAAGTATAGAGTTTTATTGAGGCCCAGATGGGAGGATTGCTTGAGTCCAGGAGTTCAAGACCAGCCTGGGCAACATAATGAGACCCTGTCCCCCCCCCCACACACACACACAAAATTGAAAGTCACTAGCAAGAAATACTATGTTCATGGATAGGATGATTCTGTGTCTAAAGATGTCAGTTTTTCTCTATCATTATTATCATTGCGTTGTAAACCTGCTCTTCTTTCTACATTCATTGTTTATAGGGAGTTGAACTTGTCAGATGAATATCTACTGTGATATGTATGAAGCAAAGGAAAGAAGCATTCTTGCTGACTGACTATCAGACCTCTTGCAAACAGTATGCAGGTAATGAATAAGAGATACTACATTTTCTTACCTTTTTTAGGTTAATAGGCTTGCTCCATTTCAGCCACTAATTTTTATTCTTGATTCAGTGTCACTGATATAGTTCAGCTGTTCCTCTTAGTTTCCATATTTATCCATATTCACATCATTGTAAATTACAGCATAATTTTACATACTTTCATAAATTATTATTTTTTGCCATTATTAGGGACATGTTACGTTTATGTTAGGAAAATCTGGAAATGTGTTTCCTTTGCTATTATTTATATCTTATCTTACTAAGGTAAACCCACACCATTGTGGCTGAGGCATATGTGCTCACTTTAAAGCAGCTGGTATTGTTCCTAAGAAGTTGCACAAGCCCAGGCTTTTAACTAAAGTCAGAAACTTTTCACTGACAAAAAAACTACAAATGCCCTTGTAATGGTAAGAATGATTCTGTGTTAGTTCTCTTTTGCTGCTGTAACACATTACCGCAAACTTAGTGGCTTAAAACAGTACAAATTTATTATCTTCCAGTTAGTTCTGTAGGTTCAGAAGTCTGACACGTGTCTCACTGGGTCAAAATCTAGGTGTTGGCAAGTTTGCATTCCCTTCTGTAGACTTTAGAGGAGCTTCTGTTTCTTTTCCTTTCTAGCTTCTGAAGACTGTCTGAATTCCTTGACTTTTGTTTCTTTTACTCCATCTTCAAAACAAGTAACAGAGGGTTTAGTCTTCCTCACATCACATCATTCCAACCTCCTCTTCTGCCTCCCTCTTCAACCACTATGTTGGATTTTATTATGTTGGATCCCGGATAATCCAGGATGATCTCCCTTTCTCAAAGTTCTTAATCACATTTGCAACATTCCTTTTGCCACCTGAGGTAACCTTCACAGGTTCTAGGCATTAGGACATGGACATCTGGCCAGGAATGAGGGCAAGTTCTCTAACTTCCTGTTCCTTCCCCCTGCTCACTCTTCTCTGGCCACATTGCCCCACTCCAGACTTGGTGTTCGCTTACTCTTCCCTTGCAGTAAAATGCTTTCACTCAGAGATTCTTATGGCTTACTCCCATACTTTGTTCATTTCTCTGTTCAGAAATCCTGCCATGAGCACTATACCTGAAATTTATCCTATGCTTTCTAAACTCTTACCATGTATTGTTTTTCTTCATAACACTTCCCACTTCTGTGGCTCCCCTTCTGAAAATTCATCTCCCTTAGGGTAGAAACTTGGTCAGCTTTGTTCCTCAGTGTTACTCAGGGTCTAGCTCGGTGTCTGGTACATAAGATCTATGATGCATGCATGAATCAATTTTTTAATTTCATCCCTTAACAGCACACTTTTCTTTTCAGGAAGCTGGATCACAGTGAAATCTCTATAATTTGAATTAGAGTTGAATTTCAAATTGAAGTATGAGAGCTATTGCCATTTTACTTTGTTATTTCACTGAGAGTGCTATTTGAGTAGCCAGATTTTCAACTGACATCAGTAATACTCAGTGAGATATATTAAGTATCCTTCTGTGAATACCCTACTATTGGTTGTATTCTTTTGGAGTAGGGATTGATAATAATAGTGATAAAGACAATTAGCATCATCTTTGCTAGCATTTATGGAATACTTGCTATGTGCCATTAGTAAGTCCTTTACTTACATTATTTTATTTAATTTTCTCACTCCATGAGGTCATAAAATACACATTTACTCTTTTGTCTGCCCAAGAAAACTTACCCCCTTACCCAACACTTTCTTTAGGAAACTGCTTATCTCTATTCCAACCAAATGGTTTTGGGAACATCCCAAGAACAATCCTTTGGCCTCTTGGCTGTCAGGATGGATATATGAACCAGTCTGGATCAATCAATCCTTTAGTGGGAATACTATAGTTAACACATAATCCATATCAAGCCAGAGTTCTTCCTCTCAGTTTTTGGGCTCACTATGGGAAGAGAGACTTTCTTTTCCTCTTGGGTCCAAAAATGGCAAGGATATGGCCTGGAGCTACTATGGCGAAGTAGACAGAGGAAATGGATCAGGGACAGGAGTCAGATGCCCTGACTTATACAGTACGTGGTCACATTTTCTCCACTTGATAGATGAACAAACATGTCTCAGAGCTGTTATTTTCCACAGGACAGATAGCTTGTAAATAGCTAGTGAATGGGGGGATTTGACCCCACATCAGCCTGATTTCATTATCTGTATTTTCTTTTACTTTGCTGTATGCCCTGATATCTTAGCCACTTACCCTTTCCATTCTTCCTGTTTTCTGAAAACACATGGCAAAGAAATGCACACTCTTTATTTCTAAAAATGTGGTTCTCGGACAGTTGTTGTTCATCTGTACATCTTATACTTGATGAATATGTTCACTTGTGGGCCTAGGGCTGGAATGACAAACAGGCCCCATCTTCTGTGTTAATTCCAGTGGAATAAAAGTGATTATTTACAGCTTTGTGTTGAGAAGGATTCTGAGGCTTCATCTGGCCTAGCAGAATAGGAGGAAAGTGAAATAAGAATATAAACTATTAAATTTGTTCAAAATGTTTCATAACTCAGATTGTACTTTGGAAATACAGAGGTATACTTTTCAGCATCCAAGAAGTGTTCAGCTTGTTTTTCAGCTCAAAAATATTTTGTTAGCTAGAAACTCAACTTGTGCACCAAACCAAATTCCTCAATAGTCTCTTCACTGTGGAATGATGACATCTTCTAATAATCATCTTCCTTTGCAAAATGCCCAGACGGTTATATGCTACAATGATAGGAACAGCAACATGACCTGAATTTAGATTCTGGAACGGAATGTCATTTATTGGGACCACTCTTTTTTTGGTGAGAGAGATGCTAAATCACAGCCACCCTGAGAAAATTGTCATGCACTGGTATTGTTGAACATTTTCTAACAATCAAATTGGGCCTCACATTTTGTTGGTTGGAAGTTCCATTTCTTCATCTTTGGTCCAAGTTACTTAGCAATGACCAATCAAACTATGTGCCCACCATATTGTTTTGCGTGTTTGACTAGAACATTGACAGATTAATAGGAAGGGTAAATAGCAGAGCACAACTGTCGGGGCCCAGTGTGGGGCAGCAGGATTGACTGCTCCGGACTTTGTTGTGTTTGCTCAGAGGAAGCCGCAGCAAAAGCCTGCTGGGATGAGGTGACCTGGGTCATGGGCATTTGTTTTTTGTCTCTATAGAAAACAATTGTTTTCTCAATGGAAGATGGCTTTTTTCTGAATCTACATGGTTCCACCGATGAGGAAGCATTTGCCATTCCAGGGTGCTTGCTAAAACATAGACATACACATAAAAAGGCCACACAAAAGTTCAAATTTACTGTATTTTTCAGAGAATCCTTTGACTTATGTTAACTAGGAGAGAAGCCTAACTCTGGAAAATTTATCTTGAGAATCTCTGAACCTTCATCTATTTACTGCTAATTCCCAATATTTGATGCTTAGAAAATTATGAAATTTCAAAATCCAGCCACGTTTTCTTCCCCCACAGGTCATGAAGGTAGAACCCATTAACGTGTAGTACTGTTGATTTTGTAAACCCTGGCTTTGGTAAAAAAATTATTTTGATTTCAAAATTGCTCTAATCTGAATTGATATGGATGAAATACATTAATAATAAAGGAAAACCTACTTTAGGTAAGATTTAATTAATCAAAAGTGGTGGCTTGATTTAAAAGCCAGAACTATATTTTTGGTTGATAGATTTATTTGAGCATGACCATTTTATATTTACAAATTTATCATAGTTCTTTAGAAAAAGGTTTCCTTTAAATAAAAGACTCCAAAGGGTTCCATATGGATTTTTGATGAATTACCATTGATCATTCTTGATGTATTTTATACATATGTATACACACACACACATACATACATGTATACATACATGCAGACATACATAGAGATAGAGACAGAGAATAGAGCTAGCTAGAGAGGGATCAAGAATATAAATACACATGTATGTGTGTATATATGTGTTATATACACACATTCCTATATATATGTGTGTGTATATGTATATTCAATCAGCCAGACTCTCTTTCTGATCTGGTAGGAAAGAATAGGGGGTCAAATGGCACTCTACGATTTTCTGTTTAGCAGAATTAAATTACCAAACAGAAAATCATAGAGTACTATTTTCCAACCTTTTCTTCCTCTTCACCTTCTCTTCTCTTTACTCCTTTCCTTTTTTGTCCTTACCTTTCCAGAGCTTAGGGCTTAGGAAGAGCATAAGAGTGTTATTGATGGTGGTTGTGTGAATCATTTTAGTTTCTGGCTGCCTACTTCAAGTCCTGTTGAGCATTTTGCATTTCTAAAACTGAGAGACCACCGTGGGATCGGGTGGTAGATGTTGGTGTACTCTAAACAAATGAAGGAAATCCCCCCTCCAAAAATCAAGGGATGAAAACCTCATTGACATTGAAAACTAAGACTGATCTGAGTATTAAGAAACATCAAGACATCTGCACTAATATTATATCCTTTTTATTCATTTAAAATTAACCAGTATTTATTATGCACATCCTCTCTGCTACTCAGAGGCTACTTTCTGCCCTCACGGACCTGATAGTCTTGGGTTGAGGCATGGGGAAAGCTAATCATCCAAAGAATTACGATATACTATTCCCAATTCCCCATAGTATTAATTACAATATAGAGAGAGGGAGTGAGACCAAGAGACTGGCACTAACTCTGTTTTTTCAAGACACAGGAAGATGCATGCCTCTGTGGTTCTGTGGCTCTTTATTTAGGCTAATTTAATCTCATTTGCAAGCCATAAAACAAATAATGATTGTCTAGTTGACACCTGTACTATAGAAACATGGTAAGATTTGGGAAAGAGCATTGGTCTATAAGTTTTGTAGGGCAGAAATTGCACCTGTCACATTCACTGTATGGAATGAGACTGGAACTCCATGAATATCTGTGGAATGAATGGATAGATGAGAAGCCCGAAGACTGAAGTTGCCACTTATTAGCTGTGTAACTTTTAGC